CCCTCGCACAGGCCTGCACAGAGATAGCAGTGCATGATAAAACTAGCTCTTGGCCCAGCATCGTCCCTGCTTCCTCCGGGTTTACTGCATTTTCCTCCAAATCCCGGCTCCAAAGTGCCCCCCACCCCACCCCCGTTGCCTCTGTCAGAATGCTCCCCTCGGTATCCGTACACTCAGTTACACTAGAGCCATCCCTACTGTGAACCCCATTCGCGGAATTGCCTGGAGAAAATATGGGTTTCTAAAATAAAACTACCACAGAAACGTGAGAGGGGGCGCAGATGGGTTTCTCTCCCCTTGGCTTTGACCTGTTCTCTCAGCAGCCTTCTTTTTCAGCATTTCCTTTTCTCGGCCTCAGCCTCAGACACACGGCCCAGTGCATCTCACAGAATGTACTTGCATTTTAGGCCGACAGTCCTTAAAACCTTATACGTATCTTCTCTTTATATATTTGAAGAAGAAAATAACTCATTTAAGGACAAACCATTTGAATGAAATAGTCTTAAAACACGCACTTGTGTGTGGGGCTTGTTGCAACTGTGGTATTTGTTGAGCAGAATACAGCGTTTCTGCTTCATGGTATTAAGAGAAGGCGTGAGAAATACTGTATATGAAGACTTAATGTACAAAGCAGTTTTACGATATGCTTTTTCATGTGCTCCTTAAGAATCTCATGGAGGCCTAGGCAAGTTGGTGTTCTACAGAAGAGGAAACTGGCTCAGCCCAGGCAAAAGGCTTGTGTAGGCTTGCAGCCCATGTGCAGGGCAGTCTTCTGATCTAAGATCTGTGCACTTTGTACCACATATTACCTCTTATCCATGGGGTGCCATAATGAAAGGAAACCTAATCTTCCTCTGTAGTCCCACATCCACAAATTGCACCAAAAATTATTATGGCTATAATGTGATGGAGATGTGACTGAATGACTGAGAGAGTCTCTGAAGCCCCCTGCGGTCCCCTGAGCTTTGGAGATGGAACACAGTCTCTTCATCCAGCTTCTGTGTCTCCATTTACACCGGCTGCAGATGGCATCAGCAGGTCAGTGTAGTTCAGAGCCTACCCTGGCTTCCAGAAAGCTTCTCATTTCCTTGCTGCCATCAGGTACGAAAGAATCTTAAATCCAGTCTCTCTATCCAGGGATCAGAGACAGATCCTTTTACAGACAAGAGAGACAGTCAGATAGTATGTGACCTTCTACTGGTTTTGTTCATGTTAACAACCAGCCATGCAGAGAGCTGGAGATGAACATTCTAGAAAGAGGGAATGGCAATAGCCCTGAGGAAAGAATGAACAGGGTGAGCTGCAGAAACAGAAAGGAGACCCGTATGACTAAAGCAGGGCTCAGCACGCTTCTCTTGCAAAGCGCTAGCTAGTAAATATTTTAAGCTTTTGTCGGCTATTCAGTCTTGGTTACAGTACTCAGCTACTGTAGCACAAAACCTGCCCTGGACAACACATACATGAATAAGTGTGTCTGTGTTCCAATAAAACTTTATTTATAGACACTGATATTTGAATTGCATATCATTTTCACGTGTAACACATTGTTCTTCTTTTGATGTTTCTCCAAATATTCAAAAATGTAAAAATCATCCTTAGCTGATTGTACAAAAACAGGCAATCAGCTGAATTCTGCCATGGGCTGGAGTTGGCTGACCCCTGGGCCAAAGCATAGCAAATGGAAGTGGTCCCAGATGAAGCGAGAGAGAGCTCCTGGGCATGGGCCAGACGGCATGCAGGTTTTGTAGGCCACTGAAGGGAGTGCAGGTTGTATTCTAATTGCTATGGGAAATGCCTGATGGGCTTCAGGCAGGAAAGTGACACAAGCTATTTTAATAACACTCTGGTGTATCTGAGTCCAGAATGGACTGTCAGGGAACAAAAGTAGGCGCAGATATAACAATAAGGAGACTGCTCCAGTGGACCCAGCAGAGATGGCAAAATACCGAAATGGGAATTCCATCCCCATCCTCAGAGGGAATGACCTATTAGGATGATGGGGTGTTTCATCCTGCAAAATGCCTGGTACATAGTCTATATATATTCAGTAAGTGTTCAGTTCAGCATACTTGCCTTCCTTCTTTGGAAGTCAGAAGGCTGGGACTATTGGTTTGGTCCAAATCTCTCACCACTTTCAGGAAAATGGGTCATTCTGCTAAAAATAGGTCAGATAATATTAAAGTGAGGGACATAAGCCTTGCTAATAACTGTGAAAGGATGTGAGTGTATTCCTATTTTTGTTGAACCATGTGAAATAGCTAACATTTTCTACTGTAAGGTTTATCAAGATCACTGGCCTTATTTGTTACTCTGAAAACATAGTTTTAATTTATTTTGTTTGTCTTCACAAAAAGTATTAATATATGAACAGGAGTTTTTTTTTCATATTTTTTATTTTGGTATCATTAATATAAAATCACATGGGCAGCATTGTGGTTACTAGATTCCCCCCATTATCAAGTCCCCACCACATACCCCATTACAGTCACCGTCCATCAGTGTAGTAGATGCTATAAAGTCACTAGTTGTCTTCTCTGTGCTGTACTGCCTTCCCCGTGCCCCGCCTACATTATGTGTGATAATCGTAATGCCCCTTATTCCCCTCCTCCCTCCCTTTCTACCCACCCTCCCCAGTCCCTTTCCCTTTGGTAACTGTTAGTCCATTCTGGGGTTCTGTAAGTCTGCTGCTATTTTTGTTCCTTCAGTTTTTCTTTGTTCTTATGCTCCATAGACAAGTGAAATCATTTGGTACTTGTCTTTCTCTGCCTGGCTTATTTCACTGAGCATAATACCCTCTAGCTCCATCCATGTTGTTGCAAATGGTAGGATTTGTTTTCTTCTTGTGGGTGAATAATATTCCATTGTGTATATGTACCACATCTTCTTTATCCATTCATCTACTGATGGACACTTAGGTTGCTTCCATATCTTGGCTATTGTAAATAGTGCTGCAGTAAACATAGGGGTGCATATGTCTTTTTGAAACTGGGATCCTATATTCTTAGGGTAAATTCCTAGGAGTGGAATTCCTGGGTCAAATGGTATTTCTCTTTTGAGTTTTTTGAGGAACCTCCATACTGCTTTCCACAATGGTTGAACTAGTTTACATTCCCACCAGCAGTGTAGGAGGGTTCCACTTTCTCCACATCCTCACCAGCATTTGGTTGTTCCTAGTCTTTTCTATGTTGGCCATCCTAACTGGTGTGAGGTGATATTTCATTGTGGTTTTATTTTGGATTTCCCTGATACTTAGCGATGTGGAGCATCTTTTCATGTGCCTATTGGCCATCCGAATTTCTTCTTTGGAGAAGTGTCTGTTCATATCATTTGCCTATTTTTTAATAGGGTTATTTGCTTTTTGGGTATTGAGGCATGTGAGTTCCTTTTATATTTTGGTTGTTAACCCCTTGTTGGATATATCATTTACAAATATATTCTCCCATACTGTAGGATGTCTTTTTGTTCTGCTGATGGTGTCCTTTGCTGTACAAGCTTTTTAGCACGATGTAGTCCCATTTGTCTATTTTTTATTTTGTTTCCCTTGCCTGAGGAGATGTGTTCAGGAAAAAGTTGCTCATGTTTATATTCAAGAGATTTTTGCCTATGTTTTCTTCTAAGAGTTTTATGGTTTCATGACTTACATTCAGGTCTTTGATCCATTTTGAGTCTACTTTTGTGTGTGGGGTTAGACAATAATCCAGTTTCATTCTCTTGCATGTAGCTGTCCAGTTTTGCCAAAATAAACAAGGTTTTGAAAACTTATTCTTAGGTCTGTAGAGCAGAAACAAACCTCCTTGATCCTTTTCCCAGAATTAACAAATAGCTAGTCTTCCTGTGCCATTCCATTTCCTCCCAATTTCTCCATCTCTCCTGGCATTGAATGGGAATAAAGACAGAAGAAACAGCAAAGTGAGGACTTTGCCTGATATTGACAAATTACCAACTTGGAAAAGGGGAGACTGTCTGGAGCCCTACACAGGACCATGAGGTTGAGATGAGGTATGAGAAAAATCTCCCAAACCCAGGATCTGGGTGTTAAATGAAATAATGTAGACAGTTGTAGTGTGAACGATTTTATACCTGTTTGGGTTTGTATACTTTGAAAGGTAGGGGTGTTAATCAACAATTACTAATGGTATGTAAACAGCAAGAGCATACGTGCACCCGGAGTTGTCGGTCTTCCTGGCCGCCTCCCGTTTCTGGCGGGTCCTAGCACTCCGTGGCTTGTGGCAACCTCACTGCAAGCACACAGCCTTCTCCTCTGTGGCATGTCTTCTCTTCTGTCTCTTATTAGGACTTTTCCTTGGACTTAGGGCCTGCCAGGATAATTCAGAAGGATCCATTTCGAGATCCTTAATTATGTCTGCAAAGACCCAATTTCCAGTGAAGTCCGATTCACAGGTCCTGGGTGTTAGGACATAGACATACCTTTTTAGGGGCCACTTTTCAACCCTCAACAACAGCAGACTTTGTCTTTGTCAAAAGGCTACTTTCAGGAATTGGCAGCATAAGTTGCCTGCAGATAACATGCAAGCTGATACATTGCCCTAGAATTATTGCCTAATTTTTCCAGTGTGCAAACCTTATCTTTTTAACTGAGTTCTAGGTTTTATGTCCAATACAGGACTTTTGATTTTGACTTTTTAAGTTTTAGATGATTTGGACATTTTAATACTATTAACAGTGTTGCAATGAGTACCAGGTACCTTAGTTTATATCTACTAATATAGTAATACAATAAATACTCAGGTGCAGTGGCTCAAAGGGCATGGTCATTTTACATTAGGATATGACTGCCAAGTGGCACTCCAAAGAGGTTGCATCAATTCTCTCTCCTATGACAGGTATACAGTAACATTGGTTTCCCTTGAACTTGCAAAAATCATTTCTTATCAACCTGTTTGGTCTTTGCCAAAATCATTTATTTAAAAATTCTTATTTTAATGATCATTTATGTAGTTACAGCTGCGGTTGAATGTATTTTTCAGTATCTATTACCCTTTTTTTTTTCCTGTGAATTCTCTGTTTAGGCACTTGCCCATTGTTTCTATTTGAGTTTTGGTCTTTAAACAAGTAGACTTTGGTGGAAATCTTATTTATTTTTTATTTAATGGAAATTAGTTTCCCATGCCCCTGCCATTCTTTGTCCAGCAGTTTGGAGTAGTGGTTTCCCCATGCCTGGTCTGGTACTCAGTGACCACGAAGGGGAACATACAGATTTCTGGGGCTCTTCTCTCTGTAACTGCCTCTTTTTGAGAGCTCTGCCACACAGCTTCCAGCTGCCCAGCCCCTCTGGTCTCTCATCTGTGTTTCCTTGCTCCCTTCCCACTTCCCTTTGGGTGCCCATCACTGTGACTGCAGTATGGAAACTGCTTCCAGCAGAAAGGGTGGGGCTCACAGGCTTGTTTCCTTTTCTCAAGGATGGCCTTCCTATACTGCCTATTGCTCAATGCCCCCCAAAAGCTCTTACATATGTTTCGTCCAGTTTTCTAGTTGTTTCCTGCAGGAGGTTTGGTCCAGTCCTTGTTATGGCCCAACTGGCCCTTTATTTCCTAGTTGCGAACAGTCTTGATATAATCTTCACATCGTATCTTCATTCACACATTGTATTAGACACTGGGGTGCCTTTTAAATTTTGAAAAATCATATTCCTCAAAATTCCCTGAGGAGTTTTCTTCTGCCTTTACTAATTTCTGTCCACTTTTTATCTGTTTTCATTTTCTGGAATTTCTACTTGATATTGGGTCTTTTGGATTGAGCATCCATTTTTCTTATTTTTTTCCTATTGTCTATTTTTCTATTATTCTATTATGCTTTATGTGTGATTTACTAATATCTTCTAATTATTTTATGGAATCAAAAATCTGTCATTATTTTTAGTTTCTAGGAGCTTTTTCTTATTCTCTAATGGTTCCTTTTCATATTATTTTGTTTTTATTTCATACGTATATCTGCTCTCACATCTCTAATGATATTAAAGCATTTCTTTTTTGTTTTGTTTCAAGGTTTTTCTTTACTGCAGCACCTTTGTTTCCTGTGAATTCTTTATGTTGTTTATCTTCACCATGGTTGTGTTAGAGGGTCTTGAGAGTAAGACACCAAAAAGCAGATCTGACCCGAAGGTCTGTGTACGTGCACTGGGCTCATCCGTTGGTGACCTTGACTGGGGCAAACGGGGGGCCAGCTGATACCGCTCGTTCGCAGGCATTTTCTCTGGGGATTTTGCTCTGAATGTTCGTGCTCTGGGTCTCAGCAGCGGGAGGGGATGGAGATCTCACTGTTGGACATACAGACTTCCTCAATTCTCTTCCTCTGGAAGGAACTCCACCTTTGCCTTCCTCAGAAACCGGAGGGAGACGAGAAGTCAAGAAACTGCTTGGGGACTAGATGTGGTGGAAAACTGGAGGGAGATACGGGCCCCTCACACAGACTTGTAATCTAATCCTGCTGCCGCCTGCCCAGTTTTTCTGATTCCTGTGCCTTCCTGGGTCCTATGTGGAACTTTAGCTCACTTCTCACGATGATCCCTCAAAGCCTCTTTGCTGGCACTAAGGGTTGACCTGCCTTCTGTTTGCTCAGTCTTTTTTCCCTGCTCTTTTCTATTCCTCTTTCTAAAATCTGTCTCCCTGTGCTGTGGGTTCAGACATCTTAGTTTCCTGATGACGGCCATACATGTCTGTTACCTCTTCTCCTTGACGTTTCTTGGTGACTTTTAGAGAAGGTCATTGGGTGGGTATGTCTGTACTCTGCCTTTCTGAATCCCAAGTCTCTCACGTTTTTACAGCAGAAAAACTTGATTCACCCTACATTGGATTCTTGGAATTCCTTTATTTTTGTTAAATTAGAGGCTAAATTTAAGAGATAAACTGAATTTTTATTTAATGTAGGCATTATAATGACAGGGAGAAATAAACTGTATATTGAAAGGATTATAGGCACATAATGTCAAACATCTGGATAAGATGCTAGTTTAGTGCACAGGTGTTTTGCCTACATGACCACAAGCTAAACATCTGGATCTTAGATATTTTCTGCTTTAGTTTTCACCAGCTGTTTGGTATCATGGAATAGACATGCCTTGTAATTAAAGTGACTTGTGAGTGGAATGATGAATTGACAAATAACTTGAGGCTACTCTTCTGTACAACCTGAATGTGACCATGAAGAGTCCACCACTGCCATTGCATCAGCCTGTGTACACCAATGTGGGCCTCCACATCTGCAGGCCCTGGTCTGGTGTCTGTAACTCTTCTCTCTCACTCCTAAGAAAACAGTTCAAGTACCACAAGGAAATAATTTTCAATCTATAGTTTTAGAGAATGAAGATATGCCATAGAGATCCTATTAAATGCACAGATTTCTTCCACATGTTAGACCTAGGTGTTTCTCCCTTCACCCTGTCTCCAGTTTTTCATGGAAAAAATTAGTTTCCTAACTCAACCAATGTATTTAATATATAATTGAACAAAATCCCTTTGGCCTAAACACAGAACTGAACTTGGACTATAGGGCTGGATGGGTTTGTTAGATGGGTGTTCTTTGTAGGATGAGAAGGCATCTTTAAGTCTGAAAGCTTCTGTCAAGGCTTTTTAAAGCTGGCTATTAACTACACACACACACACACACACACACACACACACACACACACAATCTATTTTTAATTATTCTATTTATTTTTAACCTATTCTTGAAGGTAAAGCTCCAGTCCCACTTCCTGTGGGAAGCCTTCTGAGCCTCCTCTTTGGAGTCCTCGCTAGGCTTTATTGTTTACTACCTGGAATTGTTTACTTTTGTGCTTGACTAACGAAAGTGTCAGGTTGATAAAAATGACCGACATCTATCTCCTGGTAAATAATTCTTCAGAAGAGGTCCAGAGAAAACTGTACCCACATTTTCCCAGGCCACTGAACAGGTGGCATGGACTTGTGAGGAGGGCCGAAGAGAAATGTACACAGCTCTTCTTCAAGTGGACTCAGTGGGCTAGACTCCGCCAGTTGCTCATTTCATTCCTGTGAGCACATCCAGTCGGCCTGGAAGGAAGCCCTGCTGGTTCTTTAAGACGGTGTAGGAGGATTCATCCACAGACAGCAGAGAACCTTAAGGAGGGCAGGCATCACTCCCCCTTCCCCCCAGCTTCATACTCCAGGCAAGTCCTCCTTACCATTTAGGCAGCAGAGTTATACAGAAAGGGCTCAGGACTGCTTGGTTCCTGCTCTCCAGGCATCTGCAGTCTACACTGGGACGGTAGACCCAGAAGGGCCCCTCGGAGAGCAGGCAGATCCCACAGGGAATCAAAATGCCTGTCTGCTTACCCACGTCTCCATCGTGGGTTTGTCGGGTGGCTCTGGATTAAAGTACCTGAGGTGACATAAACAGTGCACAATCAAGAAAAATCTATTTATAAATGATTACCCAGGGAAGGTCACACCCATTCACACACACAATACCTAACAAAATAGAAACCAGAAATCAAAGTGATTTAAATTTTTCTCTTTAATCTGCCCTATGTTTTCAAGTTTTCATTTTAAAATTATTTTTCCTCCATAAAGAGATAAGTAAAGAAAAAAATTAGTGACCCACCAGTCCTCAGGTGACCAAAATATTAGTAGCTTTGTATATATACCTGTATCTTTTTTAATTCAATTTTTTTTGGGGGGTAGGGGTCATTGTTATCTTTGCAAAAAGGAGTTCAAGATATGAAATTTTTTTTGCTTCTTGCTATTTTCATTCTTTATAATACATCCTGGCCCCCTCTCCAGATCAACAGACAAATTCTTCATTTGTTCTTTTTTATTGGTGCATAACAATTTCCAGAATGGCTCAACCAGTTTATTCAATTACTTAGTTACTGACATTCAAAATCTTTCTGATTTTGTTACTGCAATTAAGTCTGTATTGCTCTAATATCCTACTATAATAATATATTATTCTATTAGAAAATACCAGTTAAAGTAAAAAAAAGAGAAGCAATTACTATAAAGTCAAGAAACGGATACTGTGAATGGATTAAAACATTACCTGAGGCAACATGGGGCCACATACCATTTCTGTCTTGAGGTAATCATCTGTTCACTGTGGGTCCTGTCTGCCAATGCAGACCGCAGATTTCTTGACATCAGGAAGCAGGCCTCTTTCTTCCTTGTCTCCTCCAGACTGCTGCGCGTGGTAGCTCTTTGTAGGGCAGGCAGGCCCAGACCCACGTAAACCACTGTGTTCTAAGTTTCTTTTGAAAACAGCTGTTCAGATATCAGAATGAGATTTTCTCATGTGTACAGTATTGTTAAGTGGTATACTCTCAGGCCAGCCTGCAAATTCTTATTTTTAACCCATATGAAAGTAAACTATACACTTATGCTATTATAGCTTTTTATTTCTGTGGGAAAAAAATGTCCTGAATCCCAAATGAGCATCTGCATGCAGAGACCCCTCCTCCACTGTGTGTATGTGTGTGTTGAGAGGAGAGAGAGCCGTTCCTTACTGAACTCAGATGAGATGTTTTCTCTCTCCTTCTGCTGATATGGCTGTAGGTGGAAATCAAGCAAGCAGAATAAGAAATATGATGACTAAATATGAAAGTGCCAGAAAGAAGAAAGGCAAAAAGAACAAATATAACATAAAAGTTTACTATTTTTTTCTTAGAGTCCTCATTCATGTCTGTGATCTAAGAATCTGAATTTGATTGCTAAGAATACAGTAAATAAATTTGCATGTAAGTGAAATTAAAATTTGTTAATAAGAAGAGTTTCCTAAATTATAGATCCCGCTTAATTCTCAATCTTTTTTCAAATAGCATATTTAAGACATGATGTTAATCAAAGCAAAAAATATTAATGATCATGGGATGTATCATTTGTTAATAGCTGTTGACCTGGACACACATTAATTTATAAGCTTGTTCTTCTGTGCGCCTTTAGAGAGTCCATATTTGAACTGCTAAGATAAAAACATAAGTAATTTTAAAAATGGATATTAAAAATAAAAGTCTAGGAGAAACAAGCATTTGTAAGAAAAAAATATTTCCCATATAATTAGAGATATAGATTTTAAAATTCTTAAAAGAATATCACGTAAGATAGAAAATGTAATCTTATCAGTGCTTTCTTATTTGAAGTACTGTGGAAGAAACTAGCTAAAACTTACATATATTTTATATAAAAGTCTCCAGCATATCCAGAAATAATTTCCTTAAATCACCCAAAAATATTATTTAAAATTTCACATGAATCATCATGAACTCTATTCTTAAAAGTGTTAATTTTGCAATGGGAAAACAACCATCCATAGTCCTGTCCCTTAAAGACAACAGCTATAAAGATTTTGATGTTGTTCCCTTTGGTCTTATTTACGCAAACATCCTTGGGTCGGCCATACTGTACATATAAAACCTTTATTTTCCTTATACCCTGAATGTAGCATAAATATTCCCCAGTATCATACTTAAGTTCATCAGCAGCAAAAATGCCAACAAAAGTACATGTGGTAAAATATTTATAAGTATTGTGAAAGATGACAGGGTTCGGGAGGTTTCCTCCATGTTTCCAGTCTCTCAGGGAGGGAAAATGGCTTGTCCCACGGTGTCATAAAAGCATGACCTCAGTCATATACCTTAGAAACAAGGGGTCACGCTTCTGCATCACTGACAAGGTGAAAGGTCCTCATCAAGATGGGAAATAAAAACAAAGAAAAATGGGGACATCTTGAGTGACTCAAGTGATGAGAAACCCGTAAGACTGGTACCTCCTGGGAGGTGGTTCTGCCTGGCTACCCGGTGTGAACTTACTCACGCACCTATGTCCACGCTCACACAGCCCTCTGTTGCTTGGTGTCCGTATTTCTTTCCCTCCTTCAGTCTGACGGCTTTTCACTCATGGTTAGCTGTGTTTTCTTCCTTATCTCTAGTTATCTGAAAATGAAGTAAAACCAACAGCCAGTTTTTGTTGCTCTCATGTTTAAAAAAATTTTTTTAAAGCAACAGAACCTTTTCCCCAGATGAAATCCTCCTCAGAACCTCAGTATGTAAAACAGAAAAAAGGAGACTTCCTGGTGGTTGAGCGGGGCAGTGCCGAAATTTGGGATTCACACTTTGAGGCTGAGAAAATATGAGACGGGCTCTTTAGACTAATATTTGCTGTCAAATTACAAAACATTCAAGGCAAACCATGAAGTTTTACTTATGCTGATTGTCCTGGCAACAGAAATTCAGCTTTGTGAAAACTATTACCCAAGGTGATTCTCTTGGAAAAAAGCCTGAAAATATTTAGAATTAAAGAAGTGACCATTACATTTTGGAATGAATACTGATCTTGTGGTGACATAATCTCTGAAAATTATCACTGTTCACTCAAAACAGTCTTGAGGGAAATAGTTTGTGCGCCTGGAATCCACAGCTGAATGTATCTTCTTTATTTTTATTCACTTATTTATTTTTTAAGGAAGGTTTCTTTGGGGGTTAGAAAGAATGAAGTAAAAAATTCATTTGTGGAGATGAGAATCAGAGAAAGTTATAGGGAAATAAATATTTTAGGAATTCAAAAATAATATAAAAAGACTAAACTTTCAGAATATCATAAATGTGATGTATTTCCTCAGCTAACTCATCATGTAATGAAGTGAAACCACAATGAAAGTTGCTAATTCCTCTAAGAAATCAACAAATTGAGAAATCCTTGCATTTCATTGATGATGAGGGAACAACTGGGTGATTTATAGCGTGACCGTTTAAAATCACAGAATCCTTTAAAATCTTCCCATTGAGCTTAGAATAAAATCCAAACTCTTTGACTGGGCATCTGCCCATGTCCTACTCATTTCCTTCAGTGCCCAAAATATGCCATTTAGGGCCTTGGTCCTCACTCTTTCCTCTGCTCAGGGCCTTCATTGCACAATTGGTACCTGTCATGGGTTGAATAGTGTCCCTCCCTGCAAATTCGTATGTTGAAGTCTAACCCCCAGAACCTCAGAATGTGACCTCATGTGGCAGTAGGTCTTTGTAGATGTAACTTGTTAAGATCATGTTGGAGTATGGTGGCCCCCAATCCAATATGACTAGGTTGTGTCCTTTTGAAAGAGGAAATCTGGACACAGATGCATACTCAGGGAGAATCCTGTGAAGATGAAGGCAGAGATTGGAGTGGTATGTCAAGCCAAAGGATGCCCAAGATTGCTGGCAGACCACCAGAAGCTAGGGAAGCACAGAACAGGAACCAGCCCTGTGGACCGGGACCCAGCCTTGATCTGGGACTCACAGCCTCCGTAATTGTCTGGCTTTGGTATGGCAGGCCTAGGAAAGGAGTGCAGTCAGTAACAGAGTATCTTCTCATTCTTCAAGTCTTGCTTTAAATGTCATTTTCTCAGAAGAGCCACGACCATCTAGCTCTGCCCCGCCACCTCCCCTGCATTTTTCTGTGTAAGCTCTCATTTCCTATGAATCATTACATGACCTGTAACTCTTTTATTGGTATACTTGGATGCCTGTTGACATCACCCCCATTAGGATGTCAGCAGGGGCTTGTCTAACTGCATCCACAGCAGTGCAGCGAGGGTCCAGAGCTTTGCAGAGCTCTGCAAGCACGGTAGGAAATGCTCTGAGTTGCAGCAGAGGTTGAGGTGGAAGCGTCAAGAGCTGTGCATCATAGGAATTGTCAGGCACCTTTTGGATTTAGCCGACATGAAGTTTTTCGAGGAAGTGAGAGAATTTAAAACTACTCCCAATCTTTGGTTTTAAGACACTTCTTTCTGATTGGCAAATTTCCAAACATTTTCAAATAGATTAAAGGTGTATCAATCAAAACACTAGGAAGTTTGGGGAGGACGTGAACACACATCAGGCTTCATATGTGGTGAGTGAGGAGCTTACAGAGAAAGAGTGGAAGCTGGGATAGAAAATCCTTCAACTATTCAGAGCCAGGGAATCATGTGGTTTGCTCAAGTTACGTTACACATTTAAAATTTGTCTCTTGTTTAAAATATTTTTAATACTTGAAACTATTTTAGTAATTTTTTCAAAAGAACCTCAAGACAAAGCTACAGACACCTTCTCTTTCTGACTTTAAAAGTACTACTTTGGAGTTTATCACCTTAGAGAAATAATGAATATTTCAAAGCCATTTGCGATGGAACAGAGAAATTGTAGTAAAAAACAATTTATGAAGTTTTCCAAGGTGAAACCTTTCCTTGTAGACAAGAAAAACTCTCCCCCACCCCCACACACAAACACCCTGGCAATTTTAAAGAGTATTTTTTTCCCTTACTTCATCAGAACAGGACAAAATTAACATTTATGACTAAGGATTGGACAGTATAGTACCCAATTCAAATTCATGATTTTCAGAGAATTGCAACAAAATGAACATCATTTCAGGGTTTCGAGTAAAATGGAAGAAATTGAGTTAATAGTTAAGAACCCTGACTTGATGCCCCAGATTCTTGAACTTTGATTGAAAACCTTTTTTCAATGTCTTCACAGTTCTATTATCTCAACTAAAATCTAACTTGACTGTATGTTTATTTTACATGGATTTCATTGTAATATTCTTTGCAATGCAGAACTATAACCCATGGCTCTGTGTTGGTCAGATGCTCTGGCAAGTGTGGAACACTCATTTTCCATGATTTTATAACCCCTGAATTATAGCGCCATGGAGGAGAGCTTCCATGGCCAGGACAGAAGTGGTGGCAGTGACACTGCAGAGAAAACTGGAGCATCACATGCAGCCTGCCGGGGCACTGATTTGATCATAGCTGTCCATATGTAACACTTTAGCTAGTAGGCTATCCTATTCTACATCCTTAACTTACATGTACAGTTCTAAAGGCTCTGATTGTAGGTGGAGGTGCCATTGATGATGTAATGAAAATTAACATGCCAATTTCCAAGCTGTAAGAAAACTTCTTAGAAGGCAATAGATTTTTTTCATTTGTTTTGCTCACTGCTGTATTCCCAGTGCCAAAAAAAGTTCTTGGGCACTTAATATTTGTTTCTTGAATGACTTTATGGAAGTATTTCTCATTTATTAGAAAAATAAAGACCCATTTTCAAAGGGTTATTATCCTTAAATGTGTCTGTCTTTAAGTTTCCTTCTTAGCTGAAATCGGTTCATGTAGCAATCAGTCACTTACATGTCCAAGTAACCACAGTTATTCCTCGACTCCCTTGACAAGAAATCAGTCCCGACACATCCAGGTATATCTTTTATGATGTTCCATTCCATGAACAGAACACGAACATACCTCACTTGGGAGATCACTAGTTTCATTACACAGGACTGCTCAAGCAATAACTGTAATAGACGAAGGTGTCTGCTCAGATTACCTTGGTATGGCAAAGGCTGCTTTTCCCAGAGACTTTCAAAAAGGTTATACTTGGCTATATTAAATCACTTTCCACAGAGATTTATGACTATATGCATTTCATCAAAGGGTTAAGAAATATTTCTTGACTGTGTCTATCAAGACCACATGGATTTTGGAGTCGTATTTACACTTTTGATCTGCAGTGACTTGTCATTGACGGCATTAAGAACAGAGGGAAATCATTCCGTTTTGTGTGTCTAGGGGCCTGGAGAACTGGAAACAATACCCAGGCCTCAGGGAGCTCCAGGGATTCAGGAAAGGTGGGAGTTGGTGATGCCTCCCAGATTCCTGGCTGGTCAATGAAGTGACAGATACGAAGTCATAGGAAAGATGTTGTGAGTTTAGTTTTAGACACGAATAATTTGTTGCACCTGAGGAACATCTAGGAGGAACTGACCTCAGAAGTTATAGATCTTGGAATTATCATCAAATAGTGGTATCTGAGCTTTGGGCCTGGGTGAGAGGACTCAAAGAGAAGGTATATAGAATGAGAAAATAGCAGTGTTAGGACAGAATGTCTGGAAAAACCATAATCTAGGGAGCTGGCAGCAGAAGAGAAGCTAGCCAAGAAATAGCACAGGACAAAGGGATGTCACATAGGCATCATGGAAAATGGGAAGCATGATGGGAATTATTAAATGGAACAGAGAGACTGAGTAGATGAGGAATAGAAATGGCCCTTGAGAAAATTTGCTAGAAGGAAATACATAAAAAATACCAACCAGTCTATTACTGACTGGTAGAATACCAGGTAGCTTATTTTCTTCTTTCAGCTCTTCTGTATTTTCCATCGATATACAATATCGATGATCACATTTGTATTTAATAAAATACTCTGATAAAGTTTAAATATTTTATGGGCAAGTAATTATTAATCACAGGTACTTGAGTGCCTATGTGCCAGGCACCATGCTAAGGATAAAAAAACAACCAAGAGGATGGCTCCGTTGTTTTACAAAAGCAGCTGGTTAGACAAGGGAGGGGTGGGGGGCTTGTGGGGCACAGCTGCAGGAGATGAGGCTGGAAAAGTATGGTGCCAGATTGTCACACACATTGTATGTCTCATCCAATAACATGGACTTTATTCTCAAGGCTGCAGAGAGATTGCTGAGGGCAGAGTGAAGACTGGAATTGTGCTTTGCTTGAAGCTACTGTGCTTCTTAGCCCGGACAGTAGTGTGGCTGCCAGCCTGGAGGAGTCTGGGATAGGGACATGGCCCCAAGGCCAGGCAGTAACTGAATGAAGGCAACGTGGTGGGGATGGAGAGCCAGGTCCACATATTTGGGAGGCACATCAACAAGCCAAAAGGATACTACCGATTGGATGTACGATGGGGAACATCACAAATGCTTCCAGGGTTTTTAAGTTCTGTCCACGAGTGGGTAAAGCATTCTTCAGTCTAGACAAGTCAATAGTTCTGGGGCACAGAGGAGTGTGGGGGTCATGGTTTCACAAAGGGGTTTACATGTAAATAAATAGCTATGGCCTCCCAGAAAGGACTTTTTCTGGTGAGTGGAGAAGTTTGGGAGAAGGATGATTAAACTGCAGGTAGGGGAAGAAACAGGTGCAATTAGATGAGCATCTATACTTGCAAATAAGAGACCAAAAAGTGGTAGGTCCTGAGCGAATTGTATTCGTTAGAGCTAACAACCCAGGAAGGTGGCAGGTGCAGTACCTTTAGTCTTGTATTCTCTCATTTATCCCCATTTCACAGCATTGAACACTGAGGCCTTAGGTTAAACAGCTAGTCAAAGAGGCCACATTTGAACCTGGCTGTAAGTTAAAAGCCTCTCCCTGGACCAGCCAGACTGAGACATCTTTTAAGTAAAAGTAACTCACTCCCTTGCCCATCTCTTTCTTCAGTTAAGGTAACTTCTGCTACACTGGCGATATCTCAGTCTTGGCATGTGCTGGGGTAGACTTACTAGAGGAAGACCTGCCTTATCACCCTAGCCCCCAAAAAAGCTGCTGTCAGTTGCCAGCAGCCCCTCAAATGATGACATGCTTCATACGAATAAGGTTAAGGGCGCAAGTCACTTGGCCTAGTTCTTCCATTAATATCTAAGTCACGCTATCTTGTCACTTAATTGCTCCTTTTTATTCCTTTGAGGCGGGCAGTGCTACAAAGTGATTTTTTTTTTAATTCACTCTGAAAATGGCGGTTTTTAATACCACTTACACCTGCCCCACCAAGTGGATGGCAAGAACCCCTTTGCTTCCTCCTCCCTCCTTCCCAACCTTCAGGTAACTGCGGGAGTGGGGAGTCAAAGACCTGCGTTCCTCTCCCGGCGCCACCAGCTTCTGCCTGAACGGCAGCTTGCGCCCCCCGCCCCCCGCCCCCCCGACCCTCCCCATCGCCTCCCGGGGTGAGCGCGGCGAGTGTAAGCGCCCGGAGTGCCCGCAGCCCACTCACGAGCAGCCGCTTGTTGCTCCCGCCGCCGCGACGTGGGGAAGTGAAAATGAAATGGACTTTTCCGAGAAATGATGAAAGCGGCGCTGGCCGCCAATGAGCAGCCGCGGCGAACTTGCGCACCTCCCGGCCGGGCGGCTGGCGCCCTCCCCCCGCCTCCACCTCCCGGTTGCACAAGCTTGAAACAAACACGGGGGAGGAAGGGCGGAGGGACGAGGGGCGGGCTGGCGAGGAGGGGGGAGCGGGCGGCGGGAGGAGCGCGGGGGTTGGGGGGGGGGATTTCCAGCCTCGGCTCTTCGCAGTTTCCTCTCCTTGTTTTGCTTTCGATCTGGACTGTTCTCAGGCAAGCCGGGGAGTAACTTTTAGTTTTGCTCCTGCAATTATTCAACTGACGGGCTTTCATTTCCATTTCACACACCCTAGCAACACTTAAACCTTGCGGAATTGTATTGGTAGCGTGAAAAAACACACTGAGAGGTAACATTTTTCAAATAATAGTTGTGACTGTGCGTGTGTGTTTTTCTCGAGGGCATGTTTATGAGGACTGGAGGGGATATGTGTGTGTGCGCGCGTTCTGATGCTTTGACACGATGTTTTGCAGACGGAAAATGCTGGATTCATAAATATTAATACTGATTTTTGGAGGAACAGTCGGCGCTATTATGGATCGTCGGGTTTTGGGGGAAGCAGGCTCTGCTCTAGCTGCTGCTCCTCGGGCTGCTGAGGCTGCAAGGAGGAGGAGGAGGAGGTAGAGAGGGAGGAGGAGGAGGAGGAGGAGGAGGTTGGTGGAGGTTTAATTTCACTTTTGGATTTGCAGATGCGGAGAGGTGGCTCCATGGACGCAGACCTGCTCTGTGTGATTCTGCGCCCCAGGTGTTGTGCGCGAGGGTTCAGGTCCGCTGGAGTCGGGCCTCCTTTTAAAACAGAATTGTGTGCACGCGTGTGCGTGTGTGTGTTTACAGACGTCGTCGCCACCGGAGCCGAAGGACGGGAGCGGGTCCTTCTCGGTGCCCGGCGGCGGCGCCTCTCCCCAGGCAGCCTCCGGTGTGAATAAGCAGGAACCGCCGCCGCCGGCTGCCTGCGCCCCGCGCCCGCGCCCCGGCCGGGCGGCAGGAGGAAACTTGATGGGGCGCCCCGCGGCGGTCCTGGGGCTCGCCGGCCCGCGGGGCTGGGGGAGAGGTGGCGGGCGCCGGGTGCCGGCGGGCGGGCAGGGAGCGGGCTGGGCGCCGGGCTTGGCCGGCACGCCCGGCTTCCTGGGCGCTGGGCCGCCGCCGCCGCCCGGGAGGGACGCCGGGTCTTCCTTCCCGCCGGCCAGCGCTGGGCCCGGCCCCGGGGCTTTGTCACTGTCCTTGTCCCGGCGCGCGGGGGGCCCGGGCGGCGCGTCCTAGGGGGGCGCCGCGCCGAGGGGTCATCCGCCCCGGCCGCGGCCTAGCGCCGTGCGCCTCCGGGTCCCGCCGGCGCCCCCAGGCCGGCCGCGCGCGCTGGGCCTCGGCTACGGAGCGGGCGAGGTGGGGGCGGGGAGCCTCCGGGCGCGGGCGGCGGCGGGGGGACGTGAGTGCCCGCCCCGCGCCCTCCGACCCCGCTCTGGGCGCCGAGCGGCGTGTTCCCCCGCCGGCAGAGCGTGGCGGGTGCGCGGCCGCGGCCGCCACTTCCTTTCCCCCCCTGGAGGAGGAGGAGGAGGAGGAGGTTGGTGGAGGTTTAATTTCACTTTTGGATTTGCAGATGCGGAGAGGTGGCTCCATGGACGCAGACCTGCTCTGTGTGATTCTGCGCCCCAGGTGTTGTGCGCGAGGGTTCAGGTCCGCTGGAGTCGGGCCTCCTTTTAAAACAGAATTGTGTGCACGCGTGTGCGTGTGTGTGTTTACAGACGTCGTCGCCACCGGAGCCGAAGGACGGGAGCGGGTCCTTCTCGGTGCCCGGCGGCGGCGCCTCTCCCCAGGCAGCCTCCGGTGTGAATAAGCAGGAACCGCCGCCGCCGGCTGCCTGCGCCCCGCGCCCGCGCCCCGGCCGGGCGGCAGGAGGAAACTTGATGGGGCGCCCCGCGGCGGTCCTGGGGCTCGCCGGCCCGCGGGGCTGGGGGAGAGGTGGCGGGCGCCGGGTGCCGGCGGGCGGGCAGGGAGCGGGCTGGGCGCCGGGCTTGGCCGGCACGCCCGGCTTCCTGGGCGCTGGGCCGCCGCCGCCGCCCGGGAGGGACGCCGGGTCTTCCTTCCCGCCGGCCAGCGCTGGGCCCGGCCCCGGGGCTTTGTCACTGTCCTTGTCCCGGCGCGCGGGGGGCCCGGGCGGCGCGTCCTAGGGGGGCGCCGCGCCGAGGGGTCATCCGCCCCGGCCGCGGCCTAGCGCCGTGCGCCTCCGGGTCCCGCCGGCGCCCCCAGGCCGGCCGCGCGCGCTGGGCCTCGGCTACGGAGCGGGCGAGGTGGGGGCGGGGAGCCTCCGGGCGCGGGCGGCGGCGGGGGGACGTGAGTGCCCGCCCCGCGCCCTCCGACCCCGCTCTGGGCGCCGAGCGGCGTGTTCCCCCGCCGGCAGAGCGTGGCGGGTGCGCGGCCGCGGCCGCCACTTCCTTTCCCCCCCACCGGCCCGGCTCGCTCTCCCCGTGCCGCCGCTCGCGGTGTCTCGGCCTGGGGCGACCGGGAGGGGCTCGGCAGGGGCTCTGCAAGTTCGAGCGGCTTCGGGATGTTACCTCCCGTCCCGGGATGTCCCGTCCCTTTGGCCCCGGTCTCGGTGCGTTTGCCGCCCTCGCCCCTGTTCCCGTAGAGGGGGAGCAGGGAAGGAGGCGGGCAACCCGAGCCGGGCGCCCAGACTACCCCGGGCACCAGGTGGGGCGCCCGGACCAGCCCCTGTGGCAGGACCCTTGGTCCTCAGCTGTAAACGTGCCCCTGGGACTGGCAGTGCTCCCGAGGTCGCCACACATCAGCGGGGTGGCTTTCGTTCGCTTTAACACCGTGGTACAGTGTCTGGAACTTAGGTTCCTTTACCCGCTGCCTCCCTCTTCTGCCTCCTTCCTCCAGTGTGGGCAGTGGGAAGTGCTCCTTGTCCCTGATTACGGAGCAAGAAAATGCAGCCTTTCTTAAAATGAGGAAAAGTGTTGTCTTTTGCTTTCTGCCACTGGCTTCCCTGTTGCCGTGAGTAGGTCTGCCTTTGATGAATGGCTAGGGAGGGTGGAGGATCGTTACATTTCCTGTTGTGGACTTTCAGGATCACCAAGGTTGATGTCAAGCCTGCAGGCATTTATTAGTTTCATCCCGATTGCAGATAATATTGGGCCTGCACATTTTGATGCGTAAGGGCAGGTGCAGACAGGGGCCTGTGACAGACTGATAGGAAGGGTAGAGGGTCTGGATATGAGACAGATTAGCGCTCCCTTACCAGGGCCAGGAGGGTGACCTCTGTTTAACTTGATCATGAGCACGGATTCAGGGTTCTCTAGTTTTCTCACCCGCACCCCCACTCCCAGCACCATCATTCCTTTTTTTTCTTTTGAATGGGGAAAGGGTGAAAACCGAAACCTAAAAAATCCTGCAAAAACTTGTTTTTTCTAAGGGAACTTAAGGAGGTAAAATATTTAGGACTTAAACTGGCATTTCTAAGGGATAACCTTGGAACATCTATTGATTGATGTGGCAAAGTCTGGAATTTCACTGAAATTGGTGAATGATTATGATTTATAACAGCCTGTTGTGTAAAAAGTTAGGTTTTTGTCTCTAGATCCTAGAGTTCTTGTCTGTTCTGATCTGTAACTGCTTCTTAATATTAAACATTTGCATATTTCATTCTCAGTGAGTTGACTTTGACCTTCAAAAGTCAGAGATAATTCTACATATTACAGACTTGCTTACCTGTAAAAATGTTATCATAATCAAAAGTACGGCTTTGTAGTTAAATTGGAAGCAAGTTACGGCAGATGGTTGCCCTGAAGTCCCAACAGCTCTGATCTGTGGCTCCACTGTTCTTTTACTCTGCTTTCCGAATTACTTGATAAGGTAAATATTCAATACGCCAAAGCTAGTTAAATATGTTTAAACTTAAAAGTGGAAAATTTCAAACTTCGGACATTTAACATTTGATGTGCATTGATTTCCTCATGTTTTCGAGGACATTGTATTTTTATTCTTAGTGTTATCAAACATAAGTTCTGTTGTTTTTAGCCTTTTCACACAATTCCTTTTGATAGAGAACAGACCACTGAACTCTAAATGGGGCATCTGGGACCTGGTTCTGTTATATGCTTTATATCAGAAGGGGCTTAAGGCAGACAAGGAACTTTATTCATTCAGTAAATATTCCTAGAACATTCACTGTGTTCCAGACACCATGCTAGGCTCTGTGGATTTAACTCGAAACAGGAAGGCAACCTCTTTACCCTCTAGGGAGATAGATTTCATCCTAGTTAGTGAGCTGGTAGCACACAATTAAAGAATAAATACAATAATAACCTTTTGAGGTTAGTGTTCTAGAAGGTGATAATAATACTTAACTGTATACTTCATAGAGTTGCTCCTGGGAACAAATGAGATACTGTGTATGAAAGAAGGTTGGGTGAGTTACAGCAGTTTACCAATGGGGAGGGCATTAACTTCCAAAATTCTTTTGGATTATTATTAACATAAAAAGCCAGGGAATCATGACTATAGATTGAACGGTGCCTTTCTTTTATAGAATTTTCAGCAAGAAGGGATTTTACCTCTGAGAGTGTGTAGATAATGGTAAGAAACTAAACACAGTATAATGATTTTATGTAAAGCCTCAAAGTATTTAATAATGAAATTTGATATTGTCAGGGAATGTTTTCCTGTCAGAAGAAAAGTTAGATGGTATCCATGGAGACCAAATAATGGAAATTACAGTGACTGGACCAATATATTTTCTTCCTTCTTTATATCAGGAAAAAAATCTCCCTAAGCTCACTGTGCTTTAGTCTGAATTTTCTTCACCATTGCTTCAGACTCTTTAATTCATTATCTGTTATGATAGGTGTGCTCTTAGTTGATTTTAGTAATTTGCTGTAACATCTTTAATGGGGCTTGGGTTAACTTGTGTTTATTGAATGCTTACTATGTGCTTAACACTACATATGTGAAAATAAATATAACATAGTATATATTTATAACATATAACATGAAATATATAAAGTAACTTACAAAATACTATAAATTGCTGTGACATGTCTATTATTACTACTAATAAAATCATTTCTTTTCATCCCCATGGGACATATGTCCCATCCCACACAGATGTAGGAGGTCAGGGCTTTCTGCACCTGTTTGCCATACTTTTGGTCTGAGTATGATCAATATTTGATGTGTAATGTCTGCCCAAGGCAGAGTGGAGGGGTGGGCTTTGGGGGTGTGGGTGGCTGATGGGAATGGGAGTGAGTTGGTTTGATTAAATCTCAATTTTTCATCAAAGAATGATAAATTATCTACAGGTCCAGATTTAAATCTGAGGTCAGTATTTTATATAAAATACCAAGGGAAATGCACAGGCAGAAAATCCAGCCCACAGGCACCTGGACTCTGCCTGAGCCTCTTGGGATGCATACAGCCGGCCTGTAGTCACCAGTATTTTACCGTCAAGGATCCCTTTAAAATGATTTCCCCCTCACCAGCTCCAGCTTTTGACAAACTGCCTCTGAAACAGACTGTGTTAAGTTGGAAGGACTTCCCATCAGAGCTCCTGATTGACGTGGGAGAACTACATCATCAAATCTAGTCGATGGCATTCCAGCCAGAAGTGGAAAAACGTGATGTTTTAGATCCTGGGTAGTTGTTTTTAGGTGAACTCACAGTCCTGTTAAACTTCCTGAGGTTCTGAAACCCAGCACCTTGGAGTTTGTCACTTTCCCATTAGCAGCTTTGAGTTCTGCTGGGGGTCCAGGGACCCCAGGATATGAACCATTGCAGTATCCCAGGCAATTATTTTGTTAAGTGAACACCAACACTATGCCCTTATTTCATTTATTTGGTAAACATTTGTTGACAGCCAGCTATGTACAAGGCTCTGTGTGGTGGAAGGTACATTAACTTGAGTCTGGAGGCTGGAGTTGATTCTCGGCCCTTTTACTAACTCTTCAGTCACTTCCCTTTTCTGGACCTTCATTTTCACATCTATAAAAGAGGGGTCCTCTTTGAGGTATGGGACTTAGGTGTGTACCACAATCACCTGGGAGGCGGGGTCTTTCAACAACCACATGGGAACCTTAGGTTTGAAGCTGTCTCTAGCCCCTTCCTCTCCTTGCCTCTCCCACCCCAAGAACCTCCCCTCCCCACCCCTCTACCACCCCCCATAGTAAGCCTCTGATACTCAGTGTGTCCTGGATCCCTGTCCCTCAGATGTGTGGCCAGAGCAAAGGTGGAGAACCGTTGAATCAAGGATCTCTTCTCAGGGCAAAATCTTCATTTTTCATTGGCTCAGAGGTCACTATTCAGGAAAGCAAGCAGATGGAACCTTTTACCCACATTTTAAACAGTGCATAGAGCAGGGAATCTGGTCACTGTCGGCTCTGCCCATGTTGACCTTGCTTGTCATACAAAGATGGTTATTAGTGTTAGTGTTACGGTTGCGACACTCGAAGACTTTTCCATTCTGAAGAGGCAAGAAGGATTTTTTAATGGCTATGTCTCTTTGTGTAGGAAGGCCATAAAGAGGTATAGGTTTCTTGTTTATATTTTGGCTTATATTCCCTTTTATCAGGTTAGTACTCAGCTTCAGTAACAAGAACTGGAGTCTTGCAAAAAATCTCTCCTGTGTCTCACGCCCTGCGTGCATGCCTCGCAGTCGCTGTTTTTATGAGAAACAGAAGACTTGTGCATTTCTTTCTGACGATGGAGTCTGAGCATTTTTATCTCAAGGGCATGACCAATTTGGTGCAACAAGATACCTTAATTTAGGATTTTGTGTGATAAAACCCTGTCTAGTTTTCATTGCACAAACATTTTTGAGAGTTAACTGCTTGTTATATAATTTTCCTAAGTAATTTCTTTCAGGTGTACTTAGCAATCCGTTGCTATCTGTGTTAACAGCATGTGATACGCGCACACCTAATGTGACCAAAGGAAAGATGAGATTCCAGTTTAATTTGTTCTTACGGAGCTTACGAGTGTCAGGCATTTGTAGGATCCTAAGAAATACTTTAGAGATAGAATACACGCCTTCCTGGTGCCAGAAGCTTAGAGTCCTTCTGACTTTCCCAATTTGCGCAGTTGACATTTTGAGTGAGAAAGAATTGCATACAAATTGCTTTATTTCAAGTAATATCTAACATGTTATTTCTGAAGAGCATTTTCTCTGCCCCTTCCTACAGTGGTGAGAAGAGAGTGTCCTGACACCTAGGTGGGGTGTTGGTGGGTGCGTGGGATGGGGAGTAGGAGCAGAGAGGGGTTAATGCAGGAAGGGGTTAATGAGAGGAGGAGGTGATTAAATGAAAGTGAGAATAAGGTGGAGAGGAGGATAGTGCCTCCAGAATCTTGAGAAGGAGAGAGAAGAGATCATCAAGGAGCTAGACTTTCAGTCTCCCCACAAATGTCATTGGAGGCAATTTGGAGGCAGGGAGGGGCACAAGTTGGTAATTAACTCAGAAACTCAAGGGCAAGTTGAAATACTTGGAGGACCCTCTGCTTCTGACTTTGCGTTTGGGCCTTTTTATCCTGGGGAAGATAACGTCTGATAGGAAAGTTTTCAGGCATCAGCCGACTTGAGGTTGTGAGTGGCTGGTGCTGGGGAATGGTTGCAGCCGCTGTTGAGGTGGTAGTATGGAAGCTGGAAAAGTGATGGAGGAATTGATAGCCGACTTGAGGCTTCAGACTCAATCCAAAATTGCCTGTAAAAGTACTGTAAAAGCCCTCTGCGGGCTTCTCCCCTCCTTATGCTGGTCTTCCTTGCTGCTGTCTTATTTTTGTCGGGTTGATGGAAGTAAATAAGGAATCAGGACAACAGAATAGGCCAATACTGTGCTCCCTGAAAACACTGATGGTGCAAATTAAGATTAAACTGGGAACGTCATCACTGGGTTCTGCAGGTCACTGATTTTGAGCCCATCTTGTAGTCGGGATTGTACACTGAAAAAAACTTCCTGGAATTCACTTTGGTCTTATATACTTCAAGTCTTAAAAATGTTAAACTCTCTGTTCCAGTAATTCCGCTTGTAGGAACCCACTCCTTTGAAGTAACCAGAGATGGGACAAAGATTTATGTACAAGGATGTTTATTGAATTAGCTTTTGTTATAGTGAAAGCTTGGAAACAACCTAAATACCCAACAATAGGAACACATTTAGATGAATTACGGCACATCCAGACAATGCGTACAGATACCTTTATAAGTCATGTTCTTGCATTTAGTGATGGGAAAATGTGATGTATGTTGAGTGGAGAAAAAGAGGCTATTCAGCTAATTTTACTTTAGAAGTGTGTGCATTTGTATATATTTCATCAGAAAAAAGAAAAACCTGGAAGAAAACATTTGGATGGTAGGATTGTGGGTGTTTGGCTCCCTCCCCGCCCCCCCCCCGCCCTTGAAACCCTTGTTAGCTCTGAAATTTAATACAACAGAGCAATTGCTCTTATAACGAGAAAAATATTCTCAAGACAATGCTCAAGTGTCCTCTCTGACCTCACCTCCCGTAAATGTTAGACTAGGGAAGTAAATAGGGTAATGCTAATGAGGCCGTTGTGTATGAACTTGGCCATGGTTGAGCTCTTTCCGCCTTGATATGTGGAACCAGGCTTTACAGTCAGGGGATTGCCATGTAGTGCCAAGAGATGCCATTGTCCAGACTGATCTGATCTCTTGCTACTGGAAGACACTTAGGTTCATGGCTCCTTGATGAGGCTGGCACATGCTCTTTTGTCAAGAACTGTGGAGGGTCTGAGATGTCACCCTGCTTCTCAGATAAGTCCTTTATGTATGAACGCTGCAGAAACAGAAGACACTGGGACAGGAGGAAAGAGTTCATCATTGGTAGCTTATTACTAGTAATTGACAGTTAATTGATCTCTGTAAGCAGTTTTCCAGCCACGGTGGTGACTCTTTGCTCCCCAATACCTAGGCCCTCAGATGATGCTATGAAAACGGGTGGAATGTGGGAGTGGGTTACACTCTGCAGACATCAGTCAGAGCAACCACCCCTCTTCTCTCCCAAAGGGGAGAGAGAGAGAGAGAGAGAGAGCGAGAGAGAGCGAGAGCGAGAGAGAGCGCCAAACAGAAAATGAGAGAGAGAGAGAGAACCAGGGTTCTCATCCTAACCTTTTGGAATATAATGTCTCCAACGTCTGAGGTTCATCCCTCATGAAATGTACGGAAAGGTAGGTCTTCCTGGCACCTTCGGAACTTAACTTAGGCATCTAGTCCAGGCTGTAATCATTTCACCATCTTGAGGACACCAGAGAAGTTTAATTATCCTTTGGTATCAGAACAGTTAATTTAGACAGCTTGCTGCAGACCCAGTGTTCATGGTACACGCATAGTGGAGTGTCTTGAGGGGAAGTGAATGCCAGTGTCACTCTCTTCATGTCATATACGTTCCCTTTATACCCTATATGTTCCACTGTCTCAGTGGCTAAGGTGTTTGACAGGAGCCCTGAGGGCTCCAGGGAAGTTTTATTTTTCCCTGGACACCAACCATTGCAAGACCCCTATTTCAGAATGGCTTAGTATGACTCAATTAGGGTGTGACTCCTGACTCTTCATAACTGAAGAAGCCTCCAAATCCCTAATTTGTGTCTGAAAAAAATTTTGAATAGTTTTGATCCCTTTATAGATACTGGAGACATTTTTGGATTGGTACGAGACTAGTGTTGGGCGTAACTGTCAGGAATTCCAAGGCAGAATGCCAAAGCATAGCCCTTACCCCCCAAAAAATATTAATTAGAACAACACTGTGCAATACAAGTGTAATGTGAGCCACTCATATGATTTTGAATTTTCCAGTAGCCATCTTAGAAAAGTAAAAAAGAAGTAAGTGAAGCTAATTTTAATGATTTGTGTTTAACCCACTGTGTCCAAAATATTATCATTTCAACATGTAATACAAAAATATTAATGAGGTCATTTATGTTCTTTTTTTCATACTAATCTTCCTGATCCAATGTGTCTATAGCACATCTGAATTCAGGCTGGTCACATTTCAAGTGTGCAATAGCCTCATATAGCTGGTGGCTGCCATATTAATTGAGGATAAGAACAGGAAGCCAAGTGTAAAGAGCAACACAGGGACAAACCTAAAAAGAACAAAGAAAAGCACTTTGTAGTGGCCATCGTGTTTATAACTGCATTTCGCTGTGCCTCCCCCGCCACCGCAAACCTTACCTGATCTCTCCAGCCTAAAATAATAAAATGCTCTGAAATTCTTCAGAAGCAACACACGGTTATGTGCCGTTCCTTTGGCGATTCGTTGTGAACATCTTGAATCTTTTCAAGCCTCTTGAACTGTTACGAAAGTCGTTGATTCCTTGGATTTTTCCATTTGTAACACCTACAGGGCGAGTTATTTGAGAGCTAGGATCCTGTCGTAGTTCTTTGCATTCCCCACCAGGACTTGATACGCAGTAAGAACTAGATAAATATTTGTTGATTTGATTTTCAGCCCTAAAGCAAAGGTTAGTTCAGAAGGCTGAATTCCAGCTCGGGGTGGATGGCCAGATCTGTTTTGCGTTTGCCTCTAATGGTATATGTGTTGAACACATGAACATTGGCATTTGTCACTTTGTATTAGGGATTCAACATCCAGAAGGTGAAGAATTGTTCGGTTTTCTCCTTTGTACCTAGACCTTTAAAAATAAAAAATCTTACCAGTCCATGCCTTTGACAATCGAGTTCCAGTGATGATACTAATAACTCCCTGTATATATGAATAAGCTGTATTTGCTGATAAACTGGAGATAAACATTTGGGAGCTGCCACTTTATGGTAAGGTAGTTATTAAGAACTTTGTTATTAAAAAACCCTCAGGCCATAACATATATGCAGCGAAATTCTTTTGAAATCCAAAGAACCTGTTGCCTTCATTTGTTCTCTGACTGTAACTCTTGGGTGGAAAGCAACAGACTTATCCAAGGCAATTTATTTTTTCTGAAACCTACCTGAGAACTGCTTAGGTAGCTTTTCCCTGCGAGATTAAATATGACCTTCACTGAATCATGTTAGCGGAGCCAACAGCTAGAAAAATAAAGACTAAACCCAACCTGCCGTGGAGAAATTCCCAGCTGCTCAGTGGGTCAGAGCTTTCCTGATTGCTTGCTTCCAATAAAAACACAGTAGATTAGTTTTAAGTGAATTCCAGTAGGTTCGGGGATTTGCAATTGACAGAAGACCAGGAAAGTATAATCTCACTTTAGAATAGTAATCCTGAAGGTGAATCTTTATTGACTCTCTTTGGGGGATGTTTGGATTTTGTTTGTATGGGAAAACTGAACTCCTGGGCACTCCCTACAGTGAAGGTCTGCAGGGTGGAATGAGGCCTGAGAAGTCACACGGGCTATTGCCCCGGGAGGACCCTGTGGGCATGTGGGGCGTCCTAGGTCTAACCGAGCACCAGCACAGATGGTCCTGCTCTCCTTTCTTCCCCCTGTTACAGAATGAAGGTGGAACCCTGGGGAGCCTACACGGAATGTAGCTGAACTGCTATTTCTACTTTTGGGTGTGGTCATACTGGTGATCTGAGAAGTTGGGGTGAATTTAAAATATTATAGGAGGGATTTTACTGGTGCTTTTAGTGCATCAAGACTTTTTCTTTTCTTTCTCCTCCAAAGTCAGGTTTCAGTTTGGGTTGAGATGAGTCACTCACCTGGAACAATGGACTATTTTGACCATTCAGTCCGTCTTTTGTTACCAGGTATTTACTCCATGCCAACTATCTGTAGAGGCAGGTACAAGAAAAAGGTAAAAAAAAGAAAAAAGTGATCAGCTTAGATCTGAGTTAGTTAGGTAGAAGGTCTACATTCGTTACGGTTAGGAGCTTAATATATACAGCAAGATCACGCAGAACCAAACAGTTGAGCAATTCCACTGCTCCGGAAGCAGTTCTAGATATGTGGGAACCCCTTCTAGAGTTCTCCCATAGGCCACATGGGGTTGTCTCAGATTGTAGGGGAAGCTACTGCGCTAATATGACACATCTTTTTGGCTAAGTGTATACATCTTATTTTCTAAAAGACAGATTCTTAGTCGATCATGAATCTAAAAGGCATAAAACAACTTACTGTTTGGTTGTATGGCTGTTTTTCTACAATTCTTCCCCATTGACTTTGTTTGGCATGTACAGCTGTTGGCTGGTGTCTTTTGTCATTCAGGAAAACCCTGTAAGTCCTGATAGTTATCTGCACTTTCTACTTCCCTTTCCTTCAAGGTGGACCCGGGAACTAGCAGTGTTGCTAATAAACCATATTGCTCTAAAACCCTCCCTGGGGGAGGTACTGGAGGGTCAAGCCCTTTGCCTGCCTAGGACCGACTTTCTCCTCATGTGGCTTGAGATGACATGGTCGTGAGGGGGAAACTGGCCCTTATGTGACTAGGAGATCCATCATTCTCTCTCCTTCCCCCTGCCCCTCTGTGGGTGTTTGGCCAGTGTATACTTCAAGTTCTCTGGAATTAAAGAATAATTACCACCTGTGACAGAATGGAGAGAAACAGTGGTAGCAAGCAGTAACTTCAGACGTGCACGTGTGGCTACTCTGTTTTTAAATAGAGGTGAAAGTTACGTAACATAAAATTCACCATTATAATCCTCTTGAAGTGTACGATCCAGTGGCATTAAGTACTTGTAAAATGCTGTGCAGCCATCCCCGCATCCGTCTCCAGTATCTTCTCATCACTTCAAACAGACACTGTATTCCCATTAAACAATGACCCCACTTGCCTGACTCCCTGGCCACAAAGGTTCTACTTTCCATCTGTGAACTGGACTAGTCTAGGGGCCTCATCTAAGTGGAATCATACAATATGGATTCTTTGTGTCTAGCTTATTTCGCTTAGCAGAATGTCTTCCATCCATGCGGTGGCCTGTATCAGGACTTCATTTCTTTTTTTAAGACTGAATGATGTTCCCACGTTTTGCTCGTCTGCGTTCATCTGGTGATGGGCACTTGAGCTGTCACCACCATTTAGCTGTTGTGAATAATGCTTCTGATGATCGTGGGTGGAAAAGTAGGTTTGAGTTCTTGCTTTCAATTCTTCAATCCAGTGGGTCATACAGTAGAGTTCTAGGTTTAACATTTTGAGGAACCACCAAATTTTTGCCCAGCCAGCTGCACCATTTTACATTGCCCTGAGCAGTGCATGAGGGTTCCCTGTTCTGCACATCCTCACCAACACTTGCCATTTCCTGGTTGTTATTGGTGTTTTAACAATAGCCATCCTAATGGGTATGTGAGATCAGACTGGATCTGTTTTTGGTTTTGATTAGCATTTCCCTTAGCATGATTTTGGACATCTGTTCATGTGCTTCTTGAACATTTGTGTATCTTCTTTGGAGAAAGGCCTATTTAGGTCCTTTGTCCATTTTTGAACTGGTCATTTGTTATTTTGCTGTTGAGTCGTAGGACTGAGTCTTTCTTCCTGTGGGTTCCAAAACGACATGCCAGTGTGGTCTAAAAAGCCAACGAAGATTCTGCCTCATTACAGTATGTGGATGTAGCACACCGTACAAAATCATTTTCAGAAGTTTGCAATGTTGTCAAGCTGATAAAGCACCTGTTGAAGAATTAAACTGCACTGAATGAGGTAAATCAGACTGGATTGGTAAGCAGGGAATCAGATAAAAATACTCAACCTTATCATAGATTACTAGAATCGGAAATTTCCTCAGAGATTATAGTCCTTCCTTTTTTCTTAGCTGGAGAAATCAAGTGACCTGCCAGGGTCTTGTGGCAAGATTAAATGTGTGGTGTATTGTGCTGAAGTCTGTAGTAAAGAACTGATTCTTTTTTTTTTCTGTTGTATTTTGAAGCCTAAAATTTCTGGTGAGAGGAAAAACATAGCCATGTTTGAATATGGTGGTGGTGAATTCATTGCTGCTGCTGCTCATCCTGTACCTTTAGTACTTGGGGCTCATGAAAAAGGCCTTAGGGTTCACCCCTTCTGTGGCCTGAGGATGAGAGTGGGTAAAAGCAGCTGGAGAATAACATTTGGGGGCATCAGAATTTAAATATAATGCATTCAGTAACAGTTCAGTATTACTGCTTGAGTGGATGAAAAAATATTGCTGTAATAACAGATCAGAAAAGTAAAATGAATAAAAACACCTGTGCATTTATTGTAAATTATCGACAGGATGAGAAACCACTTATGCGTTATTACAAGAGCTATAGCAGATGAAGAAATTCAGCAAAATATCACAACTGTACAGTAGCACATTTATTGTTGGTTTACTCTTATGTTGTGTTCAACTATTTCATTTCACTCGACCCCTTTGAAAAGTTGGTCTTTATTAAATAATATAGCTTGGCAGGCTAATATTACTGGTTATAAGTAAGAGTGAGTTTTAAATAGTTGGGAAGAAGATATGTGATGTCTGTGTTTGACATAAAGCAGAGTGGTAAGGAGTTTCAAAAATTTGTATTCCCTTCAGGCTTGGGTCCAAAGCTCTTAAAAAGTCCTTAATATTAGCTTCAAGTACCATGAAAACAATATGATAATGATGAAATTAAGTTGAAGACTCCTTTCTGCAAATAACTGTTTTAAGTAAAAATTCTCAGAAGAATCAATTCCCCACACAGATATTTTTGAACTGCTGTGTGTGTGAAGCCTTGTGCTGTGAAGATGTCAAATTGAAAATTTCCTGTTCTCAAGGAGGTTATCATGTAGAGAGATGGGCCAGTAAATAACCAGAAGGATGAAACACATGTTTAATGGAAGCATAGAAGGCCAAAGGACAGGGGAGGGGTAGGAGGGAGCTGTACCTCCGACCAGAGAAATTGGGGTGCACTGCACCCCTCCCCGGGCCCCAAGGGCAGTGTCAGCTGGAGGCAAGTGGGTGAGCAGCGCGTCTTTGGTTGAAAGAACCTTAAGAGCAAAGACATGACAGTTTGAAAATTCCTGACACTCCTGCTGCATGGAGAGCAGGGAGTGGGGAGCAGCTAGATCCAGGGGTGTCAGGGTCAGATCCTGGGGGCCACAACTACCTCAGGGCACGTGTTCTTCTGTTCCCCAGTAAGGAAAGGCCTCGTTCTGTGGACAGAGCAAGTTTTTTTGGTGGGGCAGGTCACTGAGCATTTGGAACATTTTCTCCCCTTACATTTTAGAGAAAATGGTAGAGAATGACAGTCCTCATCCGGGTGTGGCAGGGCTGTGAGCCTGCCCCGTCAGGAGACCCAAGGGGCCGTGCGTTCATCGCCCACGGGTGCGGCGAGCATTTCGTCAAGGACCAGGTTGTACTTTTGATATAAACAGGCCTGTCTTTGAGGTGCTTTCTTATGTTTCTAAGAGGAAGTGATGCAGAGGTACAAAAATGTTTTTTGTACTCTCTTTTGTTTGTTTTGATTTGGTTTATAAAGAGAGTGAAGTGATTATGATTATGAGTAGGTTTACAATACTCAAGTCAGGAGATACACCATGCTTGCCTTTAATATGCGTGAGGAACCCAAGTTAGGGAACCAAGAGAGTGAGAGGCAAGGTGCCCCGAAACGACCCTGTAGCAGAGCAGGCCTTTGGAGGACGTGACGTCCTATTGGCTTAGAGTGACTGGCATCTCGTGGTCATGTGAGCAGTGAGACTGCGCCTCCCTGCCCGGCCTGAGGGGTGCTTGGTCACCCTGTTTGAGTGACAGCCATGGAAGACCATGGAGGGGCTGGTTCTTGGAAGCAAGTGTGGAGCATAAACTGCAGGGCCTCAGGAGGCCTGGAGGAAGCCAGCAGGACTGGCTGTGCCACATTGAGGCCTCTTCCTGTCTGCATGGCCAAAGTGAAAAACGGTACCAGTGCCGGGTTGGGAAACCTTATCCACTTGGCTGACTGGCTGCAGCGATAGCTCGTGATGGATATTTGCTGCATTCTCTGCTTCCTTGGACGAGTAAGCTTTGAAGGTCTTAGGCAAAGGCCTTAGGTATTTCTGAGTTGTCTTTCAATATATCACATTCTGTATCTGTTATCAGTGGCTGCCTTCTTGACGTGACTGAAATGTAGGGGTGCCAACATGTGTTGCTCAGCAAAATGACCTGCATATACTCAGTACTCTATCAATGTTGGGTGAGTTCAATGGTAATGATTGACCCAGCTGCCCATTTGTTATTTTCCATCCACACACAGACCCATCTGTACTACCTCGGAG